GTATAGGTAGTAGTTATAAACTGTTAGCTTGTAGTTTTGGATCTGTTTTTAGTTGTTTTAATACTACAATTGATTGCTTCTGTTGTCATCATTTGTAAGTCGCTTTGAATAAAAGCGTCTGATAAATGACTAAATAAAATAAAAATAAATGACTAAATAAATAAATGAACAGGTAGGGTTAAGGTAGGTGTAGGGAGGGCTTAATTGTCCCAATAAGGTGGCATCCATTTAATAATTTGAATTAAAATTATAATTTTGTAGAACAAGACAATGAAACTCCCCAAAAACAATATTAAATCTGATATATATATATATCCTATTACTTGTTTAGCTTCTGTTTCAGTTTTTATAACCATTTCTTACTATGTGTAAGTAAGTTGTTGTTTTTTAGCATGTGTGTTTGACAGTGTTATTTTTTTAGGATTACTGATAAACTACTGTCATTTGATTTGTGTTACTTATTTTAATTTTAGTTAAATTATGTCCGAATTTATTATGTCTGTATAGGTCTTTTATTAAGTTTTTAGTTTTATTTTATTTGATTTATTTTAATACTTCAGCAAACTAAATGGAAATAAAATAATATATATATTGAATTTATAAATGTGTATGTGTGTAAAAATAAATGACTAAATAAATAAATGAACAGGTAGGGTTAAGGTAGGTGTAGGGAGGGCTTAATTGTCCCAATAAGGTGGCATCCATTTAATAATTTGAATTAAAATTATAATTTACACTCAATATGTTATTGCATACTGTATATAATGTACTACAATATTGAGGTGCATATAATTGCCACTATTTGCAATAAGTAGTATAAATAGCAGAAAATCCTGCTATTTTAACATAGTGTAAATAGAATCTATAGCTATTTTCACTTAGTGCAAATAGCCGCTGCCATTTAAAAATAAATAAATAAAAATTTTTACAACTTTGTTAAAATGCTAAAAAATATATATATATATATTCAGTTTTCTCCTCAACAACTTATTTTGTATTGGGAAAAAAAGCAACAGTTTAATCACAAGAGTTTAGTGCACCCTCTTCCAATGGTCTTTCTCTTTCTCTCTCTCTCTCTCTCTCTCTCCAGGTAGGGTTAAGGTAGGTGTAGGGAGGGCTTAATTGTCCCAATAAGGTGGCATCCATTTAATAATTTGAATTAAAATTATAATTTACACTCAATATGTTATTGCATACTGTATATAATGTACTACAATATTGAGGTGCATATAATTGCCACTATTTGCAATAAGTAGTATAAATAGCAGATTTTAACATAGTGTAAATAGAATCTATAGCTATTTGCACTTAGTGTAAATAGCATATCATTAAAAAATGCTATTTCCTCTTAGTGTAAATAGCATCTATCGCTAAGAAAATATGCTATTTTCACTTAGTGCAAATAGCCGCTGCCATTTAAAAATAAATAAATAATAATTTTTACAACTTTGTTAAAATGCTAAAAAATATATATATATATTCAGTTTTCTCCTCAACAACTTATTTTGTATTGGGAAAAAAAGCAACAGTTTAATCACAAGAGTTTAGTGCGCCCTCTTCCAATGGTCTTTCTCTTTCTCTCTCTCTCTCTCTCTCTCTCTCTCTGTCTCTCTCTGTCTCTGTCTCTCTCTCTCTCTCTCTCTCTCTCTCTCTCTCTCTCTCTGTATGTATATTTAAGTGACTGGCAGCTATTCTGCATCTCAATCAGAGCAGTAACACAAACAGGACATTCAGTTTCAAAAATGGCTTTATCTCAAAACTTTTGCATTTTGTATCAAAGTGTTTTAGAGCAATAGTTACACAGCGCAGAGCATAGCAGTAGATGGACTGCAAGATACCAGAGAAGCAACCACTAAATGGAAGTAGAAGTCAGCAGAAAAGAAGCATAGATATAGGGGGGTGGACAGGTCCTGGATCCTGAGGAGAGCAGCTCATGCACTCACCGTTCTCCAGGAATGCTAGAGGAGTCAGGGATTCTGCCACTTGAGCTGTGAGCAGTGGCGGTCGGAAGATTATTTGTGGATCATGATTCTGACCTTGGTGCTGAAGCCATTGAACAAGCTCTTCCAGTCCTGTGCTCCTTCTGTTCAGCCTCAGCCTTCATTTCAGACACACATGCCTTGCAAACAAAGCTCCCAGAGCCTCTGCTTTTGGGACAAGACGAGTCCCATTCTTGACCAGGAGAGCAGAGAGGTAAGAGCAGCCAGAGACTTTGAGGTTGAAATATTTATTTATTTATGTGGATTATTAGTTTAGAGGGTCAGTTGTTGTTGTTGTCTGTCCATGTTTTGCTGGTCCACAAGTTTAATGAGTGCTGAGGCAAGTCATGGATGAAAACTACACCAGCCTTTTCATAGATTTTTAACCTAGTTACAAAAATAGATGCATGAATTAAACATAATCTGGAAGCTAACTGAGATTTTGATTTTATGAGCCATTTAGTGCAGGCATTATTTGTGAGGACAAGCGTCAGTGGGATGAGGTCTTTTGATTATGAAAATAGCCTGACTTTGATTTCCATAAACAAATTAAGTCTAGAAGATCTGTTTTTTCTCCCACTTGCTTTTCAGTCTGCTGCGGATGTATTTCTTCATCCTAATGGTACATAATGAGCAAGAGAAGTATTAGATTAACATAAATGAATTATGATTCTGCTTCACTGGCCTTTGGTAGACTAAGTTCAAGGCTGTCGTGGAACAGAAAATCAATCGAACTTTATTTACATTAAATTCATCTTAAGTACATACAAACGTTTGTACCTATGAGCTCTGAAGAATAGTTTAAATACTTTTATGAATAATATTTGTGTGTTGGTGTGTTTATTAGTACAATTCAAGGCAGTAGATTACAAGTAAGAGTGATTAAAACTCTCACTGGAGCTTTGAGCAAATGACTAAACGCTGGTCACGTCTTTAGGGGCCTGGAAAAAATAATGAGATGAAGTTTTCCGCCTAAGGGTGTTTACAAGTGTAAAGCATTAATGTTCTCCCTGCAGTGATGTGTACTCAGTGGATATCTCAGAGACTAAACACGGCTTCATTACTTCACCCACACTGAGTTACAGCCCACTCAGTTCCTGTCAGAAACATGATCATATTTCTGTCCTACAGAGAGCTTTGTAAAAGGTTTGGAAAAATGGGGAAAACGGACTAAACAGTTTCTGGTTTAACTGGCTGGTCTATGAAAATGTGAGATTTTTTTAAACTGGTGTTAACGCAGAAAATCTGCACATTCTACATAAGTTAAATTTTCACAAAAATTTGGTTTAATTGGATTTTAGTCATAATTCATCTCATAATCTGAAAAGAGCTCTCATTGTGAAGTATATTTCTCCTCAGGTGCTGTCTCTGGGTGCAGATGTCCTTCCTGAGTATAAGCTCCAGGCTCCCCGAATCCACAAATGGACCATTTTACACTACAGCCCCTTCAAAGCAGTCTGGGACTGGGTCATCTTGCTGCTGGTCATCTATACGGCGATCTTTACACCTTATTCGGCTGCGTTCCTGCTCAGCGATGAGGAAGAGGCTGCCATGCAGCGCTGCGGCTACTCTTGCAGTCCACTCAACGTGGTGGACCTCATTGTGGATATCATGTTCATAGTGGACATTGTGATTAACTTTCGCACAACCTACGTGAACAGCAACGAAGAAGTGGTCAGTCAGCCTGGCCGAATAGCCATCCACTATTTTAAAGGCTGGTTCCTCATTGACATGGTGGCTGCCATTCCTTTCGACTTGCTCATTTATCGCTCTGTGGAAGATGTGAGTGAACTTATGGGTAATTTTGAATTTTAAAGTAATAGTTCACATATAAATTAAGATTTGCTGAAAATGTACTCAACCGCAAGCCATCAAAGATGTAGATTAGTTGTTTCTTCATCAGAACAGATTTGGAAAAATTTTGTATTGCATCACTTGCTCAAAAATGGATCCTCTGCAGTGAATGGGTGCCGTCAGAATGAGAGTCCAAACAGCTGATAAAAACTTAACCAATAAGTGTGTTTGTTAAAAATCCATCAAGACATTTTTTAACTTCAAACCATTGCTTCTGGCTAAAATACAAGTTTTCTATCCATAATATTGCTTTCTCATTCTGACGGCACCCATTCACTGCAGAGGATCCATTGGTGAACAAGTGATTTAATGCCAAATATCTTCAAATCTGTACTGATAAAGAAATAAACTCGTATACATCTTGCATGTCCTGAGGGTGAGTACATTTTCAGGAAATGTTCATTTTTGGGTGAAGTATTCTTTTTATTATGCTGTTATAGCTTCTGCTAACCATCTCTTAGCCTTTCAGTCCTCATTGTTTTCCTGTATTGACAGACGACGACTCTGATTGGTCTGTTGAAGACTGCTCGGCTACTGCGATTAGTGCGTGTGGCACGTAAACTCGATCGCTACTCCGAGTATGGAGCCGCGGTGCTCTTTCTCCTCATGTGCACCTTTGCACTAATTGCTCACTGGCTGGCCTGCATCTGGTATGCTATTGGGAATGTGGAGAGGAGCGGCCCGTCTCGGATTGGTTGGCTTGATTCTTTGGGTGAACAGCTGGGGAAGCCGTATAATAAGACGAATCCTGCATCAGGACCCTCTATTAAAGATAAATATGTCACTGCCCTATACTTCACCTTCAGCAGCCTCACCAGCGTGGGATTTGGAAACGTCTCCCCAAACACCAACTCTGAGAAGATCTTCTCCATCTGTGTCATGCTTATTGGAGGTTAGTGTTTATTCTTATGCTAACAGAATTTATTTACTTTTTTTTCTCAAATTGGAATCTGCAATTGGGTGCTACTGTATGAGGTCCACTAAAAGTAAAAATTTTAAAAAGTGTATTATTTTTTTCTCTGGCATCAATATATCATGTAGGTGTACATTGACGTTCAAAAGTTTTTTTTTTTTTTTGTCCTGTATGCTCTGCATTTATTTAATCAAAATACCGTAACAAAATAGTTTTCTATTTTAATATATTTTAAATTGTATTGTCACTGTGATGTTAAAGCTGAAATTTCAGCAGTCATTACTCCAGTCCATCCTGTGGGCAAAATATTCACACACACACACACACACACACACAAAACACTACGAAGATTCGGGAACCTCTCTGATTGGCGGATGGGGTCCCTGCTGGTCGTAATACACACAAATGACAAATTGGTTTGTTAATCAAGTTTTGTTTGTTACATTGAAAAAATCAGCCAGTACAGTCTTGAAAAATGCAAGCGACTTGTCATTATTTATAATATTGATATTCTTCTTTTCATATTTACATGATTCAGTGATATTTTCAACATTAAATAAAGAGACTGCAAATAAAACTTTGTTTTTATTATCAGTAGCTCATATTTAGGTGATCACACAGAGTTTTATTTGGCAGTATGATTCAAAGTCTTTAAAAAATGGTTTTTTTTTTGTCCTGTATGCTCTGCATTTATTTAATCAAAATACCGTAACAAAATAGTTTTCTATTTTAATATATTTTAAATTGTATTGTCACTGTGATGTTAAAGCTGAAATTTCAGCAGTCATTACTCCAGTCCATCCCACCTGGAGACACCTTGGTCCACGCTGGTGATGTAATTTCAGCTCTGTACTTCATTTCTCGTGGCTCCATTGAGATCTTAAAGGGAGATGTGGTTGTGGCCATTTTGGGTAAGTGATAAATCAAACCGATAAGAGCAAAAAAATCTGACCATCTCATTGTGATCATATGCATGTATCAGGGCATTTCATGGAGCCCTTCCCCCCAAAAAACTTTCCTAAATAAATAAATACATTCCTTGACACTATTTTTTTTCTACCCACCATTAGAATACTTTTGATATTTTCAACATTAAATAAACAGACTATGAATAAAACGTTGCTTTAGCTCATATTTAGGTGATCACACAGTTTATATGGCAATGTGCTTTAAAAAATGAGGGGGAAAATGTCCTCCATGAATCTCTATGTTCAGTTATGTGTAGAGTAAACATCTTTATATTTAATGCACATGAGCTTCAACCAATATGTATGTTGGTCTGTTGACTTCATCTAACTCATCTAATCTAACCATTAGAGTACTTTTAGATATGTAAACTTGAGGAGAACAATAAAACAAATTAATTTAAAATTGATTGTGATTAATTTTATGTATTATGACTGCAGAATGACTGCACATATAAATGCAGAATGAAACAGCTAACATGTCAATTTTATTTTATTCATCCTTGGTGCATTTGAGACATTTGAAAAATGTTGAAAAAAGCTGTTGTTGTATGTATGGCTCCATCTTGTGGACATTTTTATTATTTTTCGTGCTAGGTTTCTTTTAATGACACGTGACACCATCTGTTGTTGATGCATAAAAAAACATCTGTTTTCTAAGGATGAATTTGGAATAACATACTAGCATACTGCATACTACTCTTAAGCCGTGGTCACACTAGACTTTGAGCATGCAAAATTCCTTCAGACACTCAACAGTCATGTCACACTCTGCAGTGTCTTTTTAAAAATTAAATCAATGGAACGAAAACTGTAGTGTGATCAGCCCTTTACTGTTTCTACCTTATATTGCACAAATAGAACTGGGTGGAAGTATGAATTCAAAGTGTTTAATGTCTTTTACCTGAGGAAAGATGCGGCTCAATATCACTTCCTTTGGCTTATCCTCAGGCAAGAATGATATATTCGGAGAGCCCATTAACTTATATGCGCGTCCTGGAAAATCAAGTTCTGATGTGAGAGCACTGACGTACTGTGACCTGCATAAAATCCACAGAGATGATATAGTGGAGGTCTTGGACATGTATCCAGAGTTCTCAGACTACTTCTGGAGCAACCTGGAGATCACCTTCAACTTGAGAGATGTAAGCTTGCACATGTCTGTGCTTTAATAGTACTTTAATAGTAGGTGTGCTTTTGAACACTTGTCTTTATCTTCTCAACAGACTAACACTAAAGCTGGGTCAGTGAGCAGTGACACTGAAGATTCTGACCATGGCTGTCTTGACCATCACACACGAAGAGCAAAGCTGTTCTTCCAGTCCAAAAGAAACTCTATGCCACAAGGTAAGAGCAAACACTGTGATAGCTTCTATATTCTTTCAGATTCTTGGATTTCATTTCTACTGCAATTTCTCTTAGTAGCAGATACAGAGAAAACGGAAGAAAATCTCAATAAGACGACTTTCAGAACTCAGAATTCAAGCAAGCAGCACAAGGATAGACAAGCTGCTCATCGGGACTCAGACATTTTTGCCTCCCAATTCAGCAGTGATGAAGAGGAAGAGACCAGACGGCCCACTGCGATAGTAGACTGCTCTCAGAGCCGTATCACTAGTGCCAGCAGTGCTAATAGAGACAAGAACCACAACAGCAGCAACTCTTTCAATGCACTGTCAGGTAGGATTCTGAATAATCTCTTTCCTGTTAATAATGGCTTACTGTTTAATTTACAGTAGGTGTATCATATAAGTGTTACGTATTTGCTTACTTACCTGAAAAAAGTGGACTAGGAAAAAAATTATGAGTAAAAAGAATTACAAAGATCTTAACATTTATGTTCATTTGAATGACATAACTGGATTTATTTTCAGTTAAGAAGTTAGTTCAGCCAAAAACATTTACTCACTCTCATGTCGTTTTAAACCCATAAGACTTTCCTTCATCCTTGAAACATAAATGAAGATATTTGTTGATGTTTGAGCTTCCATTTTGCCATATTTGATGCGCTGTATGTATGTGTTGATCAATGTTTTTATGTAAATAAATATCTAATTAAATCTGTTTATAAAATGATTGTGTATCTTCAGAAGACTTGGATTAAACTGCTTGATTCATGTGGATTTACGTTACGATTTTTGAAGTATTAAAGTTTTGGGTGAATGAACAGTAAATGGAGGAACCTAAAACTTTCATGGTTCATTAAAACATCTTTTAGTGTTTCGAAGATGAGGGAAAATCTAATGGATTGGGAACAACATGATGGTGAGGAAATTATGACAGAATTGTATTTTTTTGGCTGAGCTAACACTTTTTAAAAAATGAAAATGTAGTCACCCTCATGTTGTTCCAAACCTGTATAAGCTTCTCTCTTCTGTGAAAAACAAAATTAGCCTAAAGGTTTTGAAAGTTTCAAGCTTCCGAAAGGATGCAGAAGCACCACACAAATATTGTGAAATAGAAGTCATTATTCACGGATAATCTTTCAAACCATTGAGCTATTAACCATTATGGCCAGGCCATTGAGTCAGTGAGAACTCAAGAACCAGATATGATTCATGAATGAATAATTTGGGCTGGTTTTCATTGTATAACCACTTAAACTTCAGTATGTTTTTCACACAAATCTATTGTATGACTCCAGAAGACTCATGTTGCTTGATGCTCCAGTGAAATAAGTCATCAGGATATTCAGAAACAACATGAGCGTGTGTAAATGTAATGACCAAATTTGCACAATTTTGACATTACTTTTATCTTTAATTAGGCGCTCTTTCTGGGGTTTCTAACATCTTCAGCTTCTGGGGGGACAGTCAGGGCCATCAGTACCAGGAAGTACCCAGCCACAGCATGTCCTTACCCTCATCTTCGGTGCCCTCTAATACTGTCCTGCACAGTGTTACCCATCGTCATTGCACTGAGGTAGAGAATAGACTGGAAATGATGCAGAGACAGCTCCACCGGTGAGATCCCGCTACAGTATTGTTGCTATCTTGGCATCCTTTACTCTTTATCCATTTACCTTGAGCTGTATTTGTCGTCTTTTTTTTTTTTTCAAAGATTGGAGAAGCGCATGTCAACAGACATGGGGGCCATAATGCAGTTGCTTCAGAGGCAGATGGTGCTGGTTCCACCAGCCTACAGCTCTGTGACGTCCCCTGTAGAAGCATCTCCAAATCCACCCAAACCAGGCCAGAAATTGGTCCATCCTGTCAACCCTTTAGAGACGGAAACACCAGCCATTCTCTCTGAGGTATTTCACAAACTTTAATTCTCACAATCATTAATTTTCATCGAATCTCATATGAGTCTTTAATTCATTCTCTTGGATTTTTCCTAGATACTTGACCCCCACGACTTTGCTGACAGTCCCAAAAAGTCCAGTGAAAGTCTGTCAGGTGCAATAGAGCTCCAGCTCCTGGACTCTTCCTTACAGCCCTCCTCTGAGACTCCTTCTGGGGCTTATACGGGACGATGGCCACATAGCATGGGCCACAATGCAGCAAATGTCCCTGATTATCTTACAGCTCACACTGATCACCAACAAACAGTCATAGCTGATCGAGGTAGTTATAGTTTTTTAGATGCGGAGCCTATTGGAACTGTTCACCATCCACAATCTGGACTGAGGTTAGATTTGGAGCGTTCAAGACGCCTATCACTGCCAGTGCAACATCACGTAGAGGATGATTCCTCAATCCAAAAATGACATGGTTCTAATCCTGGGTGTTAGGATTGAAACTTTTATTTAGCATCTCAGTGGAAAACAATGCATACATCCTAATGGACCACAGCAATGTTGGCAGGATGTTTTGTAGACCTTCTACTTCAGATTCATATTAATTACCTCAGACACTTTAACGTAGAGGCATCATTAATGTCCCTGTAGTTTGGTATATTTGTGTTAGCTGGTCTAACGGTACTCGTGCTTTTTACCTGCCTCTCACTGAAAACGTTTTATTTATTTTACGAAAGTGTTCTCTCGTTATTTTGAGGTGTCAGTGTAATAATTTGTATTAGCATATCAATTTTTTTAACAGTGTGGTTTTGTGTTGAATTGATTGTCTGTTTAGAAGTCTTGGACATATTGTAGCAATACACTGGAAAGTCCCATCGGAGTGTGATTTATTAGGGTTTAAATGGTCGTTTGGAAATTTTATCTCAGGTGGAGATAAAGCTCATCTCTAGTAGCTGAAATACCTCAGAGTGAGTGATTCCAGGGAACACCGGTGAATCCTGCTGAATAACATGCTGGTAGTTTACGTGACTGAAAGCATGTGTTTATATCTTTCAAGGCCATCCATTGCACAGATTGTCCCTTGTGAATATGTTATCACTCTAAATATTTAATCATCAGTTTGGCCAAAGGGTCAAAATGTGTTAAATGTGATTTAGATAGGTTATGAATGAAAATCTATTTTGATCATAATCCATATCATTAGTGCAATTAGTGTTGAAATATACATATATAATACATAATATAATCAGTTAGCACTGTTTCATGCCAAACACATCCAGTAGTAAGCCATACTATAAATGAGTATAGCTTGCAATGTTCATATGTATTATAACATGTAATTTATTGCAAACCTAAGTAGGAATATTTATTGTTAGCGTACTATAAATTGATTATTGTGCAGATTTTTCTCTAATTAACTTATAATCAAATTCACACTGAATAAATTAATTCACATAATTCACAAGTCTTTTGAAGTGTATGAAACGCGTCTCATCTGACTGAATGAAAGAGAACCGTCAACCTTTCCTTGTGTTTCTCTGGTGCCAAAAATAATGTTTTTCTTTTTCTAAATGTCACCACTTCTGCAGTGCTGCTGCCAGCAAACACCAATGAAATCCATTTTCAAGACTGTGATATTTATGTCAGTGGATTCAATCCATAGAGCTAGAAGGGGAAACTGAAAGTCTAACCAATTTCCACTGAAGGCCTACTGCTAAAATAAAACAGGAAGTTTGTGTGAGTCTAAAAGTAATGTGTATCCTTCTGCTCATTGATACTTCTTGTTTTGCTCTCAACCTAATCTATAACAGTCCTTTGAAATATCTTTTCAGCATCAAATAAGCATAAGAAAAGGCCCACCTAAATATTTCAAATAGAAACATATCCATACAATAAACACAGCTCAACCTGGCAATATGACTTTAAGACCACTATAGCAAATATAACGAAGGAAAATTCATTGAACTATTTATTCAAGCATAGCTCCTAAAAGGAAACTCAGGTTTAGTGTAATAGGAAACCAGCAGAAAGAGACACACACCCATTTACAAAAATAAAGGGAGTCCTGCACTTGGCCTATCATTGTTATATTTGTATATTTGTGCTCCTTAATCATGTTCCAGAACCGGATAAACAACACAATAGAGGAATTCCGTCCTTCCACAGCACTTGATGCTCTTTTACACTCGCAGCCTATGCTTGTAAAGCGCGGGTGTCATAAATGTATGAGGTTACATCCAGGGGATTTTCAAATGCATTTTCGCATAAAGGACAGGAAACTACAAGGGTATCACGTCTCATCGGACTGTCCGATGTTCCTCGATACAATGTCATCTGGTCTGATGCCCAAATAGATCTATTCATTGCCAATCAGCGCGCTGTTGCTGATGTATTGATTGGCGAATCTCCCTGCCTCTCATCAGTCATCAGCATACTCATTGTGTCCATTAGCTGTCCATCAATACTGGTGGGGGACGCATGTAAGAACCGAGAGGATGCTCAAGTCCAAGAGCAGAGGACAATGTTCCTGAATTGTGATTGGTCGAGGGGAATAAGGGGCGGGGCGTCGCCCTGCGATCACAGGGGCGCACTGTACGAGAGGGCGGATCTGACTGCACATCGGCCAACACTACATCGTACTGAATTTTAAAAACAACAACAACGGGTAAGTGCACTTTGACATTGAGATTAGCACTCACATTATACAACCTCACTGTAGGAAATGCCTATGCATTAAAATAGCCTACGCGTAATGAAGACAAAATGAATCGGCGCGCACGCGTAGATTGTGATGCAGTCACTGCTTGACAGACGTTAGTTATTGTTACATACACGCGAGATAATCATGCGATGTAAATAAAGCGTGTCCATGACTCATCGCTCTTTCGTTCCCAAACGTTCCCAAACACGTCGACCTGCCGAGATTTCTTTGTTTGGGCACTGCCGCAGCTTGGATGCTCAGGACAGGTGTCCTCCGCAGGAGCAAACCTCTATAGAAAACTACTGTAGTTACATAACTTCAGTACAGTGCCACATATTGCTTCAACATTGTGGACATTGTGGGATGATGAAATCGTGCGAGGTTCCTTATAAAGGACGTTTTGAGCTTTACACCCCATATAAACTTCTGACTGCACATCGGCCAACACTACATCGTACTGAATTTTAAAAACAACAACAACGGGTAAGTGCACTTTGACATTGAGATTAGCACTCACATTATACAACCTCACTGTAGGAAATGCCTATGCATTAAAATAGCCTACGCGTAATGAAGACAAAATGAATCGGCGCGCACGCGTAGATTGTGATGCAGTCACTGCTTGACAGACGTTAGTTATTGTTACATACACGCGAGATAATCATGCGATGTAAATAAAGCGTGTCCATGACTCATCGCTCCTTCGTTCCCAAACGTTCCCAAACACGTCGACCTGCCGAGATTTCTTTGTTTGGGCACTGCCGCAGCTTGGATGCTCAGGACAGGTGTCCTCCGCAGGAGCAAACCTCTATAGAAAACTACTCTAGTTACATAACTTCAGTACAGTGCCACATATTGCTTCAACATTGTGGACATTGTGGGATGATGAAATCGTGCGAGGTTCCTTATAAAGGACGTTTTGAGCTTTACACCCCATATAAACTGCAAGCAAGCGAGCGACGCGACAAACCAGAACGCGTCTGTTATAATAAACGAAGCTGGTTTGATTGCAATAAGCGCGTTCTAGTTTGTCGCGTCGCATCGCATTGCTCTCATTCATACTGGGTCTGGGTCTGTGCATCGCGTGTTCGGCTCTCTGCAGTGCACCTCTTCAACATGCCTCATGGACATGCGTCATGCTGTAAAATGCCATAGAAAAGGAACACACGATCAGGAACCGACGCACTGAGTATGGATGTCTGGGACTGTGGGAGACGTTCATATGTGTTATGAAACGTAGCGATTCCCTCATGGCCTCTTTTTCTCGTTTGATATTCTGAATTGTTGCATTCTAGAGGGACAGAGGAACAACACTTTGACCACACCCCCCTTAAGTCTTATTCCTTATTCAGTTATTGCACATTATTTCTTCTTCTTTGCACTGTGACTGGCTTTGTTTGCTTTGCATACAGGTCATGAACAAATGTCAGTGGTGTTTATTCAGGTAAAGCTGGTGTGAAGGACAAGGAGGTGTCCTTCTTGAGTCTGTATTCTTGTCTGTATTTTCTTATTTTTACATGTAAACTGGGACTAATATGTTTAAAGATCGATTCGCTTTTAAATATCAGGATTACATATAGCAGTGATTTATGCAAATGTTTTCAATTGCCTGACATCTTAGTGGGTGTGATTGCACATTAACATGTAAATGATTTTAGGAAGCACATAAACAATACACTGGTAAATAATAATGTTCCTCTCAAACAAAAGCCTGTATAACTAATATAAAATCACTCTCAACTATTGCTGTGTATTTTAATTGATTTAAATCATTTAAATTATTAAAATTTGCTTGGTAAACTTGAAACCTGTTCTGATGGATTATGATCATTAATCATCATATTTTTATGAGCTGCAACATTTAAAATCTTCATATTTCATAATAGCTTATTTGTAGTGGTGCTGTTATGCTTCTGATGGTAGCTGGTTTACACGGTTTCTAACTAGACCAAATTGGGGTCTTGATCAAGCTAGACCTTGACAAAGCTGGTAGACCATGTCAGACTGGTAACAACCCAGCTCCAAAAAGCAGCTTGGGCATTTTAAACTGATATTTCATTTTTTTCTGTGGCAATATAGACCTTAATTTGACAGATTTTATTTTTTTAATAGAACTTGCATTTATCTCTTAACTGTCACCCAATTAAATCCTGATCTAATCATGACAAACTATATATCGTTGGAAAGGTCTAAGACTCCTAAATAGATATTTTACCACTGTTTATTTTTTCTTTATTTTTTTCAAATTATGTAGGAACAGTAATAGATTAATTTATGTCAAGAGCGAACCTTGAAAAATCTACATCATAACAGGAGTTCCGACCTTTGTCACAAAACGTGTTTTTGTTGCCCTTTTCCCTATCACATTTTAGTAATAATCATAAATGATATGTCAACTGAAAGCTTAAAAACATTCAAAATTCCTTAAAAAGCTTAAAACCATAAAATTCATCAAATCAGACATTGCATTACCATAGAAAATTGTACTTTAAAATCATATTATATAATTAATTTGTTAATGAATTTTAACAATTTAAGTTTGGATAGTGCATATTCGTGTATATTCAATAAAGGGGGTGACAGATAAGGGGTTAGGCCTAATTGTTATTTTGATACATGATACATTTACACATAGTTTAGTTGTAGTGTCACAAAAAACCTAAAGACTAGGAATACAAATACTTTTTGTTGTGCTCCATCATGAACATGAAAATGTCCCGTAGTGAACAACAAATCATTCAGTAAATAAAAAAAAAAAGAAAAAATATTTTTTTATATAAATATAGGGTGAACCAACAGTGTCATCATATGTTGCTGGGAAAGGGAAACTCTGTAAGATGGCATGCTGTTTTCTGGACAGCCGTGATTCTGGGGTGTCAGGTCAGGGCCTGCCGGCCTGTTGTGATGCCCTGCGTCCCGTCATACATAATCTTCATTCCTCTCACTGATGGCCTCTGACTCTAATCCGCACAGACCCCCCTCCGCAGTTGTGCTGTGACCATGGGCAGGATGTTTATAAGGGGGGGCCAATAGCACTCTCCCCATTTTAGGACGATGATGTAAGCTGAGGGTGAGAAATATACAAGATCATATTTTGTTGCAAAAATATCAGGTTAGCTGATAATAATGCAACACTACAATCCAACTCAGCAGTTTAACAATTTAAGGTGCCTTATTTTTGGATGCCTCAGGTTTATTCAGAATAACTAAGAGACAGACAGAGACTGGTAGCAGAGCAGATACATAAACCCTGTCACAATGAGTGGCAGCCAGTAACCGCATGCTCAGTGGCTTTGGCACACAATGGAACACATTGAGCCAGACCCCCATTCCACGTTCTGTATGCATTCATACAGGAATGGTTGGAATACAGCGTTTACACAGCAACACAAATGGCTGCCAAATGCCAGCCCAGTAGTCTCTTCTCAAAAACTCTTGTGAGCGCGCCATTCTCCTTTAAACCGCACGAGGACAGAGCGTGCGCTTCTGTCAGACTCTGTTTAGATTTTGGAGCATTTGGCTA